CCAGGAATTCCTGCATTTCCTAGTGATTCCGGATGTGCAGAAATTCCGGAATTCCGCTGTGTATTTCTTCAAGCTCGATAAATGATTACTTAGCCATCCATGAGATATTTGTACTTCCGGAATATGCGGGAATGACGAGAAATTCCTGGTTGTTGCATATAATTGAGGGAAAGGGTCGTGTCGGCATATCCAGAATTGATGGTAACTGATTCCGGGTCAGAAGGCGATGCAGGAATGTGTAAATTTTGAGAATAGGAAGCATTCTCGTTCCGCAGGTCTCTAAGAAATACGACCGTAGTTCGTCGTGTCGTATACGCCGAAATATGACGTGTTTACGATTAACGTAAACGACCGTATACCGCCGTTTGTCATTGTATAGTAGATATGCACCAGTACAGTCGGACTGGGTACCAGTCCGACTGGGTACCCAGTCATGACTTGGTATCCAGTCATGACTGGGTCATCAATCATTTGATCTTTAGTTTATTAAATGAATAATACTTCCGTCTTTTTTGTCTCATAATAAATTGATATGAACCTATTAAAGACCCAATACGAGCTATATCATAACATTAATTGGTTATTCTTGTGTTACTATATGTCAACTATGGTCTCATATGGTATTATAAACTAATTTGCTAGATATTCATTAAATTTTTCTGAAAAACAGATTCGATATAGGTAGGGATGCACCAGTCCGACCGGATATTCAGTCATGACTAGGGGTGCAACGGTGACGATAACCGGCCTAATCGGTAACCGGTAACTGATATGAACCGGCAACTGGTAAGAACCGGTAACTGGTATGAACCGGTAACTGGAATGAACCGGTAACTGATATGAAGCGGTAACTGGTATAAACCGGTAACTGGTATGAAGCGGTAACTGGTATGAAGCGGTAACTGGTATGAACCGGTAACTGGAATGAACCGGTAACTGGTATGAACCGGTAACTGGTATAAACCGGTACCTGTATGAACCGATAACCGGTCTGAACCGGTAACCGTTGAACCGGTTACCGGTTCACTTCCATAGTAGTTTATGTTTAAAACTATATTTTGATATAAAGCAGGTATCCATAATTAGGGGTGGGAAGTTACCGTTACCGTTCCCAGGTAACGGTAACTCTTCCGTTACTAGTTATCCGAGAATGGTAACGGCCCGTTACCAGTTACCGAGGAACGCGATAACGGCCATACTATTGGGGGTACCCTTGGGTCCTCAAGTCCTATTTGTGGAAGGTACTCTTGGCTCCTCAAGTGCTACTACCCAAGTCGATCGTTCCGGTCACCGGATACTGCAGGAACCGGCAGGAAAGACGTGGAAAGACCGCCGGTTCCTGCAGGAAAACACCGGAAATCAACGGAAGATGGAAGCAGTATTCCGGCCGGAAATTTTTCGTACTTTTTCCGGCGGGTTCCTGCCGGAAAGAACAGGAATTGG